TCCTGTAATCTCTCTGTCTGCATACAGTTGTTTTAAGTAGTCCCCTCTTTCTTCTCCCCCCACGCACACACATTGGAGCACTAAGGAACGAGGCAGCAGAAGATGGGTGTTGAGCACCTGATGGATCGTTCTCAATGTCATGATAGAGGAGCTTCATTGGCCTCTTCATTAGAAGGTAAGGCTGTAGGGTTGATGTACTGCCACACCATGATTCAAAAATCGAGAGTCCGGCCCCAAAAGATTGGGAGTGGCTTAAATATCATGAGATTTTTAAAAAAAATACATGTTGAGTTATTTGCTTGCTGGTTGTTGGGCTTTTCCCTAAAATCATGAGGGCAAGTAGCTTCCCCTTCTTTTGGCATGGAAGCTGAGATTCTGACGTCGTCATATAACCTCAGCAGCTAGGTCTTTGCTTTCAGAGCAGCACCAAATACCTCAAGACACAGGATAAAATTGTGAGTTGGCAGTGCTTGATTTAGAACGAAAGAGGTTGGGGTCTATGACAGGAGGGGGTGGGTGAGGTTCTGTGGCCGACAACGTGCAGGAGGTCAGACTAGATGATCATGATGATCCCTTCTGGCCTTAAGTCTATGAGCCTATATGAGAACTCCAGCCTGAGACAAGGAGAGGATACGAGAGGGTAGTTTGCTAAGGAGGGGCTAAATTCGTTTTGCCTTACTAGGCTCCGAATCCTGTAAGGCATGGAGCGCCTCTTGCAAAGTGCCTCCTATTGCCTGGTGGCCTGAATGGGAGCAGAACGGGCTCAGTACCTTGCAAGACCCGACCCCTGACTAGTCCAGCCTTCGGGCAGCAGTTTCTGGCCAGTGGGTTGGCTTTTGCAGAGAACTCGCTCCTGTAGGAATAAGACTGTCAGTACAGACTGAAAAGATATAAGGGAACTTGGCAGGCAAGATACTGATCACACAGTGACTGAAGCAGGAAGTTCCATTTGAATACTTTCCCTTGACCTAGATATCATTTAAATGATGACTGCCCAAGACATCAGATGTCTAGCAAGGATTCAGTATCTGTGAAATATCTGCTAACAGAGATGAAGATAGACTTCCCTTAACTCAGGAAGTCAGAAAAATTAATCTGGTGGCGGTCAGGGATCTCATCTTTTCTTTCTGAAAGAAGCGGGCGGCTTGGCAGATCTGTGCAGACCAGGAGCGCAGTGAAAGAGTCAGCCCAGAGACACAGCCACAGAAAAAGAGCTGTGAGACTCGGCAATCCACATATAAAACCAGTTGCCAGTGGAGGGGAGCAAAGGACCAGGGAACATTTTGGACCATCCCAAGTGACTGGAAAGCCCTGTAGTGCAAAGCCTGAGGAGCTGGTAAGAATGCACTGCTTGGGCTCCTTTTGAAGGATAAAGGATGGATAAGCTAGCAGCTGTTTAAATTTGTCTGTGTAACTGACAAGGAGAAAAGCTCATGCCTGTTTACTATGGCTTTTATCTCAGGTATTTATCCCCCCCCCCCCGCCCCTTTACTGAGCGCCTCACAACACCCCGTGAGGTTGAGAAGTACTGTTATCCCCATTGTACAGATGGGGAACTGAGACACATAGAGACTTGCGTGTACATCCAGCCTGCGGTCACAGCGTGTGAATGCAGCTCGAGCTGACGTACCGAAGCTCGCTTTAATCTCACTAGTGTGAGCTTCAGCTCAAGCTGTTCAAACTCACTCGGATCCCTCCGCGATACCCATGGGGCCAGCCCCGCTGCCGCGTCTGGTGCCTGACCTAGCTAGGTTAAAGCTCATAGCATAGCGTCTAGCTCCAATATGCTCAGCGACTGCCGTCTAGGCCTACCCCAAGGATATGGCTGCACTGCAGGTTAAGATGTAACTGTAGCACAGGGGGGCGTACTTTAGTCTAGTGAGTGTAGATAATAACGGCAGTGAAGAAATGGCAGCACAGATCCTGACACGGGCCAGGAACCCCAGTCTTCAGCGCAGGTAGCTTGCGCTGAACCCCCTGGGGCCATATCTTCTCTGCTATTTTCCCCCTCATTCGCTAGATTAAAGCTAATGGGAGTATGTGCTACAATCACACCTGAAATTGAAGTGTAGACATACCCAAGGGATTCACTTAATGTCACCTAGGAGGTTCGTGGCAAAGCCAGGAACCAAACCTGGGTCTCCAGTGTTCCTTGCTCTGCCACAGACCTCCCGAATCACTCATGGTACATCTACGCTTCAATTTAAAGTGTGATTGTAGCACCTTAATCACAGAATAATCTAACCTCTTCCTAACTGGAGTGCTTTGCCAGGTGCATGATATATTAATATGTTTGTATTTCTCCTATAGAAATGTGCAGCATTTATTTTAAAAGCAGTGCGCAAATTACTTACGAGCTGTCTTGAGGCTAAGTGCCTAGGAAAAGGGTTTAACCGTATGTTGATCATAAGCATGTTTTTCAAGTTACCGTTGTAGGAGACATTTGGTACTGTTGCTATACTGATCTGAGTTGCCCTGGAACATACAACATTCAGCTGGCCTCCCAGCATTTATTCATATTGCTGAAGTGATGGCTGAATGGTTGAACTGTAGAAGTCATGTTTGCTTGTATGCAGAGCTGGTCAGAAAATGGGGGGCAGGTTCCACTGAAAATCTTGACTTTTTGGCAAAAAAAGTAAAAAAAAAAAAAACCCTGAAATATTTCACTCAAAAATTGAAACGTTTTTGTTCATGGTCTTGAGAAAAAAATCAATTTCCTCCAGAAAGCACTTTCACCAAAAATCTATTTTAATCAAAATCCCAATTTTCCATCAATAAAAACAGTTTTGATGGAGAAATTTTGACCAGCCCTACTTTAGGTATTCGTTAAACTTCTTGGGAAGAGACGAACGTCAGCATTGCTTAAGATGAAGTGGCCAGAAATGGAGGAGGAGAAGATCTCTTAAAATGCACCGTTGGAAGTAAAATGCAGAGAATTCACGTAGAATTTGGAGGAATCTTTTGGCTTCCAAGCCTGGAGTGCCCTACTCATAATAGCTATTGACAGGCAGTGAAATAAGATCCCGATCTTGGGTACAAAGCGGTACAAACACAGAGCAACATTATCTGTTGAACTCGTTAGTGCCAAGATTGCCACCAGTCTGTGCTGCAGTGAAGTTCTTTCATATAACCTGTCACAAAGCATCCCTAATGAAACATATCTTCAAATAAACAACAAAAGAACTAACAGATTTCTCTGCTAAGGAAAAGGAGCCTGTAGGGAATAGCCTGCCAGGCAAAAATTCTGCAAGGGAAAACTTCCTGAGCTCCTGCAAGCAGAGTCCAAACACCCCACAGGTGAACTAAGCCCTCCTATTAATCTACCCCAATTAAGCCCAAGAGGGAACCTTGTAAAAGTGAGCCCAGGTACACTCTGACCTTCTCTGGCTCATAGCTGGCTCCTCTGCTGCTGTCTGATATGATGTAGCAGTCCGGTCTGATCTTTTGTTAACACGTCTATCTTTTTAAAACCTAACTGTACTTGAAGGATAGGTGGCAACTACATTATTTAGCCTCCGATCATAGAAAGATGGTGCAAGTTCTTGTCTCAGAACTTTCTGCCCATATGGTAGGTTGGCCTGGCAGCAGCAGCAGCAGCCTTGGTTTGGAGATTAAGACTAACCATAATCACCAGGTTTCTGAAAGGGTTAAGCCCATGTTGTGGGACATTGTGCTAATATAAGGTGAGGGGATTCCTAGTACACCTGTACTCCTTGACTGGATTTCTTGAGACCCGCCTTCCATAGAGTAACCCCATCCCAGGAAGCACACTCCCTCTTGGCACACACAGAGGGAATTTGGAGACACTGAATAATAGATCCTTGCAGTTCTACAGCAGCAGCCAGCTGAGTTGCTCAAAGCACTTTACAATGTAAAGCCCTGATCCTGCAAGCTACACATGAGCACTGAGCTTCATGTGAGGGGTGGGTAAGTATTATCATCCTTATTTCACAGATGGGGGCACTAAGGCACAGCCTTGGTAAGGCCCCAACTTTCAAAAGTGGCCACCGTTTCTGGGAGCCTCAAGTTTGGATGCCCCAGTTTTAGAAATCTTGGACCTGATTTTTCAAATGCTGAGCATCCTATCCACCGACTGGAATTGTGGGTGCTTAGCATTTCTGAAGATCAGGTCCCTAGGCATTGAAGCTGGACACCCAAACTTATAGGGCACTTCTGAAAATATGGGTCTAAATGATTTAACAATAGTCAAACAGTGACTGAGTGTGTGTCACAGCTGGACAGAGAACCCAGGAGTTCTGTGCTTTATGCATAAGAAACTAAGATAGTTGGTGACAGGTTTCAGAGTGGTAGCTGTGTTAGTCTATATCAGCAAAAACAAGGAGGAGGGCTTGTGGCACCTTAGAGACTAACAAATTTATCTGGGCATAAGCTTTCGTGGGCTAAGACCCACTCCATGCATCTGATGAAGTCGCTCTTAGCCCATGAAAGCTTACGCCCAAATAAATTTGTTAGTCTCCAAGGTGCCACAAGGCCTCCTTATTGTTTTTGATAAGACAGTTGGGCTCATGAATGAGTGTAGACTCGACTAGCCTATGATTTCCACCTGATAACTACAGGTGAATTTTCAACAGGAGTATTGGCAACACATGTCAAACAGCAGATCTCTCGGAAGAGAAGGTTGATGAGCAGGTACAATTCTGTGTTTAAAGACAAGAAAAAAGGAGAGAAAAAAGAAGACAATAGTTAATGTCTGAGTCTTTAATTAGTTGATCCATAGCTTGCCACTTCCTTTTCAGAACTCGTTAAGATTTGTCTTTTTCTAGTACCTTCCGTCTGATGATCTCAAAGGGCTTACCAGACACTCATTCTTTACATGGCAGCACTGCAGCTTCACCCCAGGTCTAAAAACCGCTTGTGCACGGCGGTGTGAGTTCAGCGAGTCAGGGGTTAAGAGGACCAGGCAGCTCCTTGAGAAAGGGGGCCGAGGTAGCAGAGGACTGACTTAGCGAAGGACTGCTGTTTTTCAGAGGGGGAAACTGAGGCACGCAGCGACGGCGTCACATGTTCCAGGTGACGCGCGAGACCCGGCGGGCGAGATACCAGCGTCGGCGGGCCCAGCTTCTGCGGCCGGGAGGAGAGGAGGACTTTCCCAGGGACTTCCTCTCCGAGGCCTGCCTTTCCCTTTCCCTTCCCGCGGCTAGGGACTCACACGGCCGCTCCTCTGGCCGGGGGGCGAGCCCGGGGCGGGGAAGGGCCCGGCGGAGGCCAGACGGGAGCGCCCCTTCCGATGTGGGCAGCCCTCGCTCCGCCCTCCGCCCCGGAGCCCGCGGGGGCAGCGCCGGCGGCAGATCGGAGCGGGCCGCGGCCCGGGCGGCGGGGAAGCGCAGCGGCCCTCGGACGGGTAGGCGGGGCGCCTCCTTCCCCCCTCCCTGCGCGGCGGAGGGACCCCAGCCGGGACGCGACGCAACGCCCCTGGGGGAAGATGCATTGGGCCCCCCCCCCCCCGCATTGGGCTACGTGCAGCTGTGGGGGGACGCTGCCGTCCTCCCTCCCTGCAGGCAGCGGCTGGACCGGCTGAGCGAGCCCCCGCCCCGCGCCGCCGCCGGTTCTGCCCGCTCAGCCGCTGCTTTTCCCGGGCCGGCTGGGCTGCAGAGAGCGGCCCCTGGGCCGGGCCAGGCGCCTTTGCTTCTCTTACGCCCACGCTGTGGTGCGAGCCGGGCGGCGGCGGGGGGGAGCCCCGCAGCGGCAGCCGTGGATGCTGACCCGCACGGGGCGGGCGGGCGAGCGGCTCTCCGGAGCCAAGGCACGTCACCCCGGCTGAGCCTTCCCGCGAGCAGCCCCTTAACCCGAGAGAGTCTGCAGGACAGGGAACAAGCGGGCGGGATTGCCAGTCCCAGGAGTTCAGAAGCCCTGCCTGGGCCCCCTCCCCGAAACAATGAGATTACGGGGAAACAGTGACGGGTCTCAGGGTAGCAGCCGCGTTAGTCTGTATCCGCAAAAAGAACAGGAGGACTCCTGGCACCTTAGAGACTAGCAGATTTATTTGAGCGTGAGCTTTCCTGAGCCACAGCCCACTTCATCGGATGTATCGGACCCCGCTGCACTCGGACGGGAAGGCGGGCTCCTTCCCCTCCCTGCCCAGCGGAGGGACGCCAGCCAGGATGCCCCTTTGCAGCGGGGGGAGTTTAGCAACTCAAGGCGCCTATGGGAAGATGCATTGACCCCCCCCTAGCTCACGAAAGCTTATGCTCTGGTAAATTTGTTTGTCTCTAAGGTGCCACAAGTCCTCCTTTTTATAAAAATAATATATTTGAGGTGGGTTTTTTTTCCTCTTTGCCTTCTGGTTTCTGAGTCTCTAGGGGGCACCTAGATTGGGCTTTCAAGCTTTTCTGTGCCATCAAGGGGGCTAGACTTTTTTTTTTTAAATGAAAACTGGGATGTTCACATGACTCCAGGAACTGGGGCTTTAAGAAAACCACCAGTCATGATAAAATCACAACGGTTGTGTATAGGGGAGGAGTGATGGTGAGTAGTTTAGTACTTAGGCAAGTGCTGAAATGATGAGAACATTTATGAAATCTGAGATAAAAGTAGGAGAGCTGTGGGTGAGCTATAGCAGGCACTGTCAGGGGTAATAAAGAAGAAATATGCAGGAAAAAGGGACAGCAAAAAGGCATCTCCCAGGCAGGAAGCAGGAGCGCATTGCTGGGCAGTCAGTAATGGGGTGAGAGGCAAAAGAATCAAATAAAAACTTGCAGCTGGTGATTTTATTTGTGTAACAGTACAGTGACTGGATACAGAGCATACTCCAAGCAGAACTGAGAAGTAATTTTGCAGAGATGTACGAGTGGTTTTGTGCTTTACGTTTCAGTACACTTCCCATGTATTCATTCTCTTGCATCCTAATTTACATGGAAGGATAATTAAATGAAAAGTTCCTGCGTCAGTATGCAACACACGTACATGAATGTATGGTTCGTGTGATCATCACAATAAAATCCTTATACCAATCTGCCGTCTCTTATATTAACAACTGCAGCTAATTGCTGTGGTTAAAATAACAAATTAGTTTCCATTATAACTCCTTGTTTTGCCATACACTGGATAATTCAACTTTTGGGTTAGATTTTTCATGCTTGGCTTCTGTCCCCAAAACGAGGGTTTCCCTCCCCCCCCCCCCCCCCAAGTTTGAGGTAAATCCCTCCATCTGTTTGAATATCAGTATGGAAAATTGTTATTTTAAAATAATGCATTATATAAAGTTTATCGTGTTTAGAGCTGGTAATGAGGAAAAGAATCACATTTTTTTAAATGGTTTTACTTTTTTTCCAGAATTTTGAAATTTGGAATTCACAAAAAATTTCAACCAGCTTCTATGTTGGGTCAAAAAATGGAGTGGGTGGGAAAGGAAATTGGCCAAAGTTTGTCTAAACTTCCTTTTTTGTGTTTAAGAACGTAAGACCGGCCATATTGGGTCAGACCAATGGCCCAGCTAGCCAAGTATCCTGTCTTCCAATAGTGGCCAGTGCCAGATGCTTCATAGGGAATGAACAGAACAGGGCAATTCATCCAGTGATCCCTCTTCTGTCATCCAGTCCCAGCTTCTGGAAGTCAGAGGCTTCACCCAGATCATGGGTTTGCATCCCTGACTATCTTAGCTAATAGCCATTGATGGACCAATCCTCCATGAAAGTATCTAATTGTTTTTGGAACCCAGATATACTTTTGGCCTTTACAGCATCCCCAAGCTGTGTGTTGTGTGAAGAAGTACTTCCTTTTGTTTCTTTTAAACCTGCTGCCTATTAATTGGGTGACCCCTAGGTCCTCTGTTATGCGAAGAGGTACATAAAACTATTTCTCTGCACCGTTCCTGATTTTTAGACCTCTCTCATGTCCCCCTTTAGTCGTCTCTTTTCCAAGCTGAACAGCCCCAGGTCTCTTTAATCACTCCTCATCTGGAAGCCATTCCATCCCCCTCATCATTTTTGTTGCCTTTCTCTGTACCTTCTCCAATTCCAGTATATCTTTTTTGAGATGGGATGACCAGAACTGCAAGCAGTGTTCAAGGTGTGGGAGTACCCTGGATTTATATAGTGGCATTATGATATTTTCTGTCTTATCTATCTCTTTCCTAATGGTTCTTAACATTCTGTTAGATTTTTTGACTGCTGCTGCACATTGAGTATAAGTTTTCAGAGAACTATCCACAATGTCTCCCAAAATCTCTTTCTTGAGTGGTAACAGCTAATTTAGAATCCATCATTTTGTATGTATAGTTGTCATTATGTTTTCCAACGTGCATTGCTTTCCATTTATCAGCACTGAATTTCATCTGCCATTTTGTTCCCAGTCACCCAGTTTCGTGAGATCCCTTTGTAACTCTTCACAGTCTACTTTGGACTTAACTATCTTGAGTAATTTTGTATCCTCTGCAAACTTTGCCACCTCACTGTTTGTTTTTGTTTTGTTTTACAAATGTCAAAATTATGGTGAAATTTTCAAAATGTAAGAAAAAATTCTGACCTGCTGTAATAGTATTATATCAAACTAGGGTTGGGTTGATCTGTTTCCTTTTTCTGCAATAGGGAGTCTAGGGAATTATTTGAAGTCTGGAAGGTGGGTCTCGGTGCAGCAGCCCGTTGGGTCAGAAAGATGCCTGCTCCAACATCAGAATTTTGGAACTACGTCCCAGAAGAAATCCTCGTCCATATATTTTACTACCTGTCTCTCCGAGATAGATACACAGCCTTCCAAGTGTGCAAACATTGGGCCGCAGCTGTTTCCACTAGCTCCGTGTGGCATTTCACAGAGATCAGGTGAGAGGAGGTATTTTCTACTGTTTGTAGGTGTCTGTGCAGTCACGCATGCAGCATCTCATAGTACAACCTATTTATCTTAAAGTAGTGTTCTTCATTCAAAAATCGCATTGCTGATAACAGCCTAGAGGTGTGAGTATTTATCAACCATTGGAACAACTTACCAAGGGTGGTGGTGGATTCTCCAGCGCTAGCAATTTTAAACTCAAGATTGGATGTTTTTCTAAAAGATCTGCTCTAGTTGAATTCGGAATTAATACAGGGAAGTCTGATGGCCTGTTATACAGGTCAGACTAGATCAGTGGTTCTCAACCTGGGGTACATGTGGCAAGCAAAGGTCTTCCAAGGGGTGCATCAACTCATCTAGATATTTGCCTAGTTTTACAACAGGCTACATAAAAAGCATTAGCAAAGTCAGTACAAACTAAAATTTCATACAGACAATGACTTGTTACTGGAACTAGTGGTACTGGGGGTGCTGTCGTACTCCCTCACTTGAAGTAGTTTCCGTTGTATACTGGGTTTACAGTTTGGTTTAATGGCTCTCAGCATCCCTGCTGTACAAATTGTTCCAGCCCCCCTGCTTGTTTATACTGCTCTATATACTGCACGTTGAAATGTAAGTACAATATTTATATTCCAATTGATTTATTTTATAATTATATGGTAAAAATGAGACAGTCAGCAGTTTTTCAGTAAGTGTGCCTGTGACACTTGTATTTTTATGTCTGACTTTGTAAGCAAGTAGTTTTGAAGTGAGGTGTAACTTGGGGGTATGCAAGAGAAATCGGACTCCTGAAACGGACACAGTACTCTGGAAAGTTTGAGAGCCACTAGGTTAGATGATCACAATGGTCCTTTCTGGCTTTATAATATGAAACTATGCAAGTAACAGTACCTCCTACATGTATCGGCTGTGTATGTGGTAGAGAAAATAGGGTTAGATTGTTGTTTTTTAAAGAAAGCATTAAGAATCATAAATCAAGGAAAGGGATAAGTCAGGACATTAGATGTGCTTTGAAAAGTGTCAAGGAGATACCATCATCCTACTCATCACCTAGCTTTGATGTAGCGCTTTTTGTCCGTGGATCTCATGGCGTTTGCAAAGGTGGCCAGTGTCGTTATCCCCACTTTAAAGAGTGGGAAACACAAGCCCAGAAAGGGGAAGATTCTTGCCCTGGGCCACACAGCAGGAAGAGCTGGGAATAACCCCCAGGTCTCCTGAATTCCACTCCTGTGCTCGTAACACTAGGCCACATTCAGGTGCAAAGAGAAAGCTTCAGGCAAGGTCACTGGAATGATTATCATGGTGCTGCTGAAGCTGGTGATCTGAGCTCTAGTGTATGAGATGGAGTGAAAAGGGAGTTTGGGACCGGGACTCACCTCAGTCTGTACATAGTGACCGAGTCCCGTAACTAACTGTATTGTTGTTGTTCTCTATTATTTGTATTACAATAGCACCTAGTGGACCAGCCCGAGATTGGGGCTCTGTGGTGCCATACACCGTGTAATCACATAGTGAGAGAGAGTCCATCCTGAATATCTTATTATCTAAATAGACAAGACCGATAAAGGTTGAGAGGAGAAACAGAGGCATAGAGCATGGAAGTCACTTGTCCAGGATCACACAGCAAGTCAGTGGCTGGCTTGGGAGTAAAACCCAGCTCTCCTGACTCCCAGCCTAGTGCCTGATCCTCTAAACCAAGTGAGAACAAATCTCTAAGGCAGTGGAGAAGATAAATAATAAGTAAATAATAATAAAGGACAGTGATCCAAAGTATAGACATTGTGCTCACTTGTTGCAGCTCCAGCAAAACAGCTAACTTGTGTTTATAATGCTCTTCCAGTTGTGATTCGGAGAACGAGGAGGGCATGCTGCAGAGTTTACACCAGTTCCTGAGCCAGATCAAACACCTGAGGATTGTGTTTGATCAGTCCAAGGAAATAAATCGGAAGAACGTCACCCACATTCTAGACATGTTGGCCAGGCAGAACTACAAGCTGCAGAAGCTATGCATCATGTGCAAAGGTGAGAACCCTTATTTCTACTCCGGCCAGGACATCCTGCAGAGCATACGAAATATATGCCAGAGAGAAAACCAAATAGACCTTCAGCATATTGATTTCCGGAGAATGCCGTTCACCCTGGATGATGGGCTTGTTGGACTCCTAGCCGCCAGCAGCCCAAACCTGCATAGCTTGTTCATCAACAATCGCACTCTGGTTTGCAACGTGAAGCCAGAAACCATTCAAGAGGTTCTGACTGTATGTCCTAAGTTGTCTACCTTGGGAGTCTACTATGCCAGCCTGTCTAACGATGTGTTTGCGGAACTGATCAAGCCAGAGAGAGGGGCTTTCACACGCTTAGATATTTTTTGTGAGCGCTTGGACAAATATATTCCAGTCATCTCTGAAGAGCTTTGGGCTGCCGTGATCCAGAAGCATCCTCAACTCTGCGTAGACCTGGAGTTTGACCACACAGTCCCTGCCTGTAAGATACCACGAATCCTAAAGCCCAATATACCCGTGGGTACTTTACAACTGAATACTTTTACGTACATGGTGAACCAGGTTAGGTTTGTCACCAGCAGTTACAGCAGGACCTTAAAGAGGCTGGTGCTCCACACGACCCCCTCGGATGATTTGAACTCCTCGCTAATAGACCTGGCGAGGAAGTGTGTCAATCTAACAGAGATTCATTGTTACTGTGTGGTTAGTCAGGAGGTGATAGATACCTTCCTCGTACACTGCCCCAGTCTGAAACGATACACTCTAAAGATTACCAAAGAACATCACCCCTGGAAACCGACAGTAGTTCAGTGATGTACCTGTTTGACTAGTAGCTAGTTTGGAAAAAACGTGGATACAAAGATTCCAAGTGAATGGAGTTTGAAATTTTAGGGTAATGCCTCAAAAACCACATCCCATGCTATGTCGTCGTCGTCATGATCATCATCAGGAATCCCTCAAAGTCGAGGATGATTGTCTTTTCATGGATTGTCTATTTCAAATTATCTGTGGATCTGCTGATGGCTGATAGGGCCTATTCTGGTTTTTGGTTTTATTTCTTGATTTATGATTTCATAGGGGGAAAATCGAGCTAACTTTAAATTAAAACAGTTTGTAAAAACAAATTCCTCATTTGGTTTGGGTCTCATGTGGCAAGTTTCACGCTGATGGAATTTGGGGCAAAGCTCTCTGAAGCCAGAACTTTCTTGGCAGCCGATTTTTCTTTGCAGCAAGCACAGCTGATTGATCACAGCAAAACCACATTAAATGTCACGCCCACCAAAAAACCACCCTCCCAGAACTCATAGTAATTTACCTTGTCCAGACACCCCTTCTCACGCTTTCAGATGCCCTTCACTTCTGCCTCTGTTCAGAGCAGCAGGGAAAGAGTCACTAAAAATTCCTCCTGGTCATGTGGCTTTACTGAGAGGCAGCTGAAGGCGAGAAACCAGCTCCCCCAGTTTAGCACTGCTGTAATCCTAATACCAGGAGCAAGGAGTTAAAGACAGAAAGGGTAAAATCTGGCATGATGGTAAATCACTGAGGCTCAGATCAAACTTATGTCTGAGAAAGTACATTTCCCTGTGTGCTGGAGTTGTACCTCCCCTTCAGGTTTAGGAATCAATGTTATTGGCCAGAGCACTTGCCAGTCCTGTGTGCCTGGGTTAGCAGCAGAAGGCTGTAACTGAGTGCTAAAGAAGGAATTGTCTGCTCTCATCAGATGACTCGGTGAACCAATCAAGTGAGTTTAGGGTTGTCCGTTTCAGGAGATCTCTTTGCTCTGACGTGAAATGGCTTTCCATGCCTCACAGTGAATGCAGAACTGTGCACCAAGGTATAATCATTTATGTTCTTCATAAAAATATAACATACAAGTCACACAAGGTAGCTGTAGAAAAGCGCATCCCCTAGTCCTGGTCTTGGGCCCAATCATGCCCTCTTTGAAGAGCCACAAAAAATTACCAGGATTGTGAGAAATGCAAGCCTATTTGGGGGAAAGAAATTCCAGCTTTTGAAGTTGTTTTCGTTTCAAAAGGTTTGACACTGACCCCTTAATTTTGTTTTAATTTTTCATGAGTTTTTTTTTTTTAAATCCTCCCCTAAATTTTGTATTAAAGTGGTTATCGACATTTTTCATTTGCTCAAAACTTGGTTTTTGGTCAATTGAAGATTTAGTAATGCTGTTTTGGGGAAAATATTGAAAAAAGCGCACACCTATGTTTAATGACATTGTTCACTAAAAAGTGGTTTGTCAAAAAAAAAATTAATTTAACAAAAAAGCAGACTTGCTCTATTTCTTTGGGTGGATGTGATATTATCTAATTAAAATATGACCATGCAAATCACTGTTGCTACTACCACTGTTATATAGTTGCAACCAATCTTATACAAAGTGTGATGCATGGCCAGAAAGGGTTAAGCATCCTGCAGGATAAATGACCCAGATTCAATCTTTAAAAACATGTTATAAAAGTATATAAATGGTAGTTAGGGCCATTCCATGCTAGATAGGCTAGAACTTTGAAATGCACACTTGTATTAGAGGTGATACCAATTTTATGTGTTTACTTATATCATGTAAACAGACAGATTCAGAGATCAAAAAGGAATATTATCATTTAGATGAATCTTGGGTGAAATAATGTCATTGTCTATAAGTCTCTTTAAAGTTTGTGATAGACTGCCTAATGGATAAATTTCCGTATATTAATCTGTGCAGCTAATTACCAGTGATGCTTAGGAAATAGGTCTACTTCAGAATCTCCATAATTGCCTATTATTCGCCTGAGGACTTCGAGCTGTCAAAGAAGACCTGAAACTGTGTAAGAACGTCTAGGGTCCTGATCCTTTTTATCTCAGATCTGCTTGATGCTTCATGCAGGGGAAACTTAAACCCAAGATTGAGATCTCTAGTCCTATCTGGAATCACCCTGACTATGAACATTGAACTATAAACTATGGACTATTTCTGAAAGAACTCTTTGCAACTACAAAGCTCACCATCTCTTTGATGAATCTAATCTCAAGAACTGTACTCATGTTTGTATGTATATGGAACTTATAACCAATACTCTCTCTCTTTTCTTTTTTAATACAATTTCCAGATGATGGTTTGAGAATCTCATGCAAAGACCTCAAATGAAACCATTCCTGAGCTAACTGTGCCTTCATTACCCTGCTGGCATCCCTTTGGAAAAGCACTAATGCTAATGACACTCATGTTCTCCTCACTCTCTTCACAAGGGAGCTTTCACCCTTTAGGGAGTGATAGTTACTTCTCACTTCAACAAAACGTCCCACAATCCACTTCTATGTGAGCTGGTGTGTGTGTGTGTTTATCAGTCAAATGTGTCAGAGATCCCTGGTGCATAGTAGAGAGAGATTTCTAAAGCTTGATTTGGTTTGAAATGATCCTGGGCTCTGATGACATTGTCATCAGGTGCCCAGGAAACAACATGTAGTGGACTGTGTTAACACAACAAATAAAGGGTGAGACTGTGGTGCTTTTACTTACCCGCGGTGAGCAACAAGTCATGTCCCATGGAAGCCAATGAGAGTACTCGCGTGAGTAAGTGCTCATCAACATGAATAAGGGCTTCAGAGTCTGGGCCAAATGAATCCAGCTGCTCATAACTAGCAGTGGGTGAAACACCTGGAATAATAATAAAGCAGATTGTGGCATCTGGGGCCTATCTATTTTCGTCCTCTATTTTCACCCAATCCAGAGCTGTTTATCCAAAGCTCGCTGCACTCTGGGATTCAGGTAATGTGGGACTCAGCTTTGGTTTTGCCCAGCCTGAATAAGGTTTGGCACACTTAAAACCGGCCTTGATTTTGCCTATCTCTGGGTGCCAACATTCAGAACAAGGAGTCTCCTAACTAATGTTTAAACTCAGTACCTTCACAATCCAGTGTCACTGCTTCCTGGCATCCTGCAAACATGCCAGCCAGGTGTTTTCTTAATTCATTCCAGTGATTTGCTAGCCTCCCAGCCTAAGGTGTACAGCGTGTGTTCTCTTTGCATGACACTGCATGTTTATTCACAGCATTGTGCGATCGGCTGCAGTGCATTTTAATTCTGTGCATTGTTCTCTGGGGCTGGTGATGCCGTTGCATTGTGCTGAGTTTTTAAGAGTGCGAACAGCACTGCTGATGTGACTCAGTGGGGGCCTACTCTCAGCTGGACCTGGATGAAACTAAATGGTTCAGTCTCCCTGTGACCCACACGCACGGTGAGACAGGCATATTGAAAGAGATGGAGTTAGTGTAACTAAAACATTGAAAAGCTATGCAAGAGTCACCCAGTTCCCTGGCAATGGATGGATACTCCAGTAATGTGCCAGCATTCCTGACTAAACTGTGGACGCTGGTGGAAGATCCTGAAACAAACCATCTAATTTGCTGGAGCACCGTAAGTACAGCTAATACCGGAGGTCACTTAAACCGCACATGTCAGCAGGACAAAAACAAGTCCAAAGTATCTAAAAGATGATATTATGTAGCATTTATCTAGCACTTTACATTTTCAAAGTACCTTGCCAGCATTAGCTGGTTAACTAAAAAAGACTGAATGTTCTTTAGAGAGACTTTTATAGATACACATTTGTGTTAGAGAGGCCAAGATTTTCCAAGTGACTAATGACTTGGGGGGGGGGGTGTCCTTGATTATTGGGTGTCCAGCTTGACACCTTAAATGGGCCTGATTTTCTGAAAATAAGTACCAACCCTCTCAAAATCAAGCTCCTTTAAGGCATCTCAAGTTGGGCCCCCAAATCACTTGTCATTTTTACTAAGCACTTGAACTAGTATGTATGGTGGACAAGGTGACATGCATGTCTACTGGCAGTTTGTCTATTTTTATTTTTAAGAGGTTTGTTTTTATTTGTGTGATGTTTCTTACTGTTTATCATTTGTGGCTTTTAAACGCTAAGTGCAATTAAAGGACTAACATTGTTTGACTCTATAGCATTTTGAAATCCTATTGTGCACTTGACTTTATTAACAGTTGTTACAAGTAGACATGATTTATTTTTCAGCAGAGAATTATCCAAGATGATGTGTTTATAAATTCACTTTCCACAAAAGGAACTATAATTAAAGCAGACTTTAAAAAAATTATTTTGATGCCAGCTTCTTTGTCATGTTTTTAGCTACTGGAACATTGTTCAGCACAGTTTTCATTCAGACTGCCTGGGATGGGATGTAAGTTGCATTTCTATCTCTAAACAGAAAGTGAGGGATAGCTGAGTGGTTTGAGCATTGGCCTGCTAAACCAGGATTGTGAGTTCAATCCTTGAGGGGGCCATTTAGGCATGTGGGGCAAAAAAATTGGGGATTGGTCCTGCTTTGAGCAGGGGGCTGGACTAGATGAGGTCCCTTCAAACCCTAATACTCTATGATTCTATGACAACCTCCCTTCGAAGCCTATTCCAGAGCTTAACTACCCAGATAGAAAGTTTTTCTAAATATCTAACCTAAATCTCCTTTGCTGCAAATTAAGCCCATTGCTTTTTGTCCTACCTTCAGTGGACATGGTGAGCAATTGATCCCCATCTTCTTTATGACAGCCATTAACATAGTTAAAGACTGTTATCAAATTCCTCCCCTCCCACCACAAGTCTTCTCAAGACTAAACATACCCAGTTTTTTTAATCTTTCCTCGTAGGTCAGGTTTTCTAAATCTTTTATCATTTTTGTTGCTGTCCTCTAGACTCTGCAATTTGTCCACATCTTTCCTAAAGTGTGGCACCCAGAATTGGACACAGTACGCCAGCTGAGGCCTTACCAGTGCTGAGTAGAGTGGGACAATTATCTCCTCTGTCTTACATGTGACATTCCTGATAATACACCCCAGAATGATATTTGCCTTTTTTTCAGCTGCATCACATTGCAGATTCATCTTTGATGTGTGATCCACTGTAACCCACAGATCCTTTCCAGCACTACTACTGCCCAGCCAGTTAGTCCCCATTTTCTAGCTGTGCATTTGATTTTTCTTTACTAAGTGTAGTACTTTGCATTTGTCTTTAATCTTGTTGATTTCAGACCAATTCTAAAGGTCAGTTTGAATTCTAATTGAATTCCTGTCTTCCAAAGTGCTTGCAACCCCTCCCCCACAAATTTTAGAAGCATACTCTCCACTCCATTGTCCAAGTCATTATTGAATATTACCGGACCTAGGAAAGACCCCTGTAGGACCCAATTAGATACGTCCCCCTATTTTGGTAGCAAAGCATTGATAACTATACTTTGAGTATGGTGTTTCAACCAGTTATGTACCCACCTTATTGTAATTTCATCTCGACCATATTTCCCTAGTTTGCATATGAGAATGTCACGTGCAACTGTGTCAAATGCCTTACTGAAATCAATATATATCCTGTCTACGGCTTCCCTGCATCCATTAGGCCAGTAACCCTGTCAAAAAAGGAAATTAGGTTGGTTTTGCATGATTTTTTCTTGACAAATCCATGCTGTCCATTCTTTATTATCCTCTAGGTGCTTACCAATTGATTGATTAATCTTTTGCTCCAGTGTCCTTCCAGGTATTGAAGTTAGGCTGACTGGTCTATAATTCCCTGGGTCCTCTTTGTTTTCCTTTTTAAAGATAGGCAGTATGTTTGTCTTTCTCCAGTCCTCTTACACCTCACCAATCCTCCATGAGTTCTTGAAGATAATCTCTAATGGTTCTGAGATCTGTTCAGCTAGTCCCTTCAATGCCCTAGGATGAATTTCATCAGGCCCTGCTGACTTGCATATATCCAATTTACCTAAATATTCTTTAATGATGAAGCCATGTTGGCCTCTTACTATTCTTCCTATCTTTCCTTTGCATGGGATAGTTTGCTGTTGCACCTTTAATATTGTCTCTTTGAAAAACTCCCAGCTCTCCTGAATTCCTTTTTTCCATTAGATTTTTTTCCCAGGGGACCTTACCTACCAGTTCTCTGACTTTGTTTAAATCTGCCTTTTGGAAATCTACTGTTCCTATTCTGCTGTTCCTTTCCTAAAAATCATGACATTTGTCATTTCATGATCACTTTCACCCCCCCAAGCTGTCTTCAACCTTCTGATTTGCAACCAGTTCCTCTGTGAATCAGAATGAAGTCTAAAATGGCTGTCACCCTGGTTACTTCCTCCACCTTCTTGTTGGTTGGCACATACACTCAGCTTTGTGTCCCAGCATGCATGGCTTTGCCATACTCATGTCTGCACAGAAAGGAAGCCTTGAAGTCGAAGTCCTATGGAAGCAATCTGTCTAGGTATAACTACCATGCAATAATAATATATAAGTTTTCCTCAGTCCATCTCAAGGCACCTTAGAAAGGAAGTCCATATCATATCTCCATTTTGCAGTTGGGGAAACTGAGATATAGAACAGGGAAGTGACTTGCCCGAGGTCACCCTGCAAGCCAGTGGCAGAGCCCAGAATAGAGCCCAGGTTTCCTGAGTTCGGTATCCTATCCACTGGATCACACTACTACCCCATACTCGCCACCATTGCATCTCAACCCCATTGTATCTTATCACCTTATTACACCTTGACAGTCATGTCTCTAACTAATTAACTCCATCTGGCCACCTCCCATTTCATTGGCTCGCACATGCCTCTGGGGATTCCAGAATTACCGTGTGAATTTTTTCTTTTCTTCGTATCTTCTCTGCAGAATGGCACCAGCTTCCACGTTTTTGATCAAGGTCAGTTTGCCAAGGAGGTGCTGCCTAAATATTTCAAACACAACAACATGGCCAGCTTCGTCCGGCAGCTGAACATGTGTAAGTAAAACTCCAATGCCTGAGTGCACTGTAATGGAGACATCATCTGGGAAAGAAGGGAATAAAATAAGCATAAGAATAATAGATACATTTAAGTATAAGAGCCAAGACCCAGGTATGACTCCGTTTTCCACACAGGCTCAAAGTGAAGGACACAAGAAAACTGAAATGGATTAAATTCTTTTTCTTAAATAATTTTGCCTTACCCTTCATATTAAGTTTTAGCATTTCTGAAACAACTAATGTACAATAATATAAATGAGAGAGTGCCAACTGTGTGTGGCCTGAATTATGTGTCTAAATGAAGGCCTTCCCTTGTAAAGACAGAAGGCTGTGCCCCATAGATAAAGAATTGTTATAGAAGGCTGCAGA